TCTGCAAAAATCCTCTTTTCGTCGAAAATTACATCACGAGATTTGATAACTTCCTCAGTCTTCATATTGATTAGTCTGTACCCCTTGGAATCTTCGCAATATCGAACAAAAAGATACTCTTCATATTTGGCATCCCATTTTGTTCTCTTCTCTTTTGGTACATGAACATGCGCTGTACATCAAAATACTCGTATTCTCTCCAACTTTGGCTTGTCTCCACTCCAAGCTTCCTCAGGAGTTGATCCTTCAACTGCAACCGTTGGAGTTCTATTCTTCAAATAGCACGCAGTATTGACAGCTTCAGCCCAATATTTCTTCGGTAAACTGGCTGCATACAGCATTGACCGTGCCTTCTCCACCAACGTTCTGTTGAGTCTCTCGGCAACACCATTTTGTTGAGGAGTATAAGGTATAGACTTTTGATGATGTATCTCATGTTCTTTCAGATAATCCTCAAAAATTCTGTTGATATATTCTCTCCCATTATCAGACCAGGGTTGCCAGATTTTGGCGATTTATAGCCAAAACCTGTATAATTTTAAATGGGGTGACGTCACGATCTGGTAACACTGTATCAGACCTGATTGCTCTAATTTTACTCCCTGCTTCATTCTCAATTTGATTCTTGAATTCTTTGAATTTTTCAAGTACTTCAGTTTTATTTTGCAGGAAATGAACAAATGATTTTCGAGTCAAATCATTTGTAAAAGTTAGAATATACCTTTTATTACACAAATCTGAATGAATGAGACCAAGCTTTGTCGTTGCTCGTACTGCTGGTTCTTTAGGAAAGGAAAACCTCTGCTGGTTCCCTTTAACACAGCCAGAGCAAACTCCCACCTCATCCGGATTCTTGAAGTCGATGCCCTCTGCTAAACTGTCCCTGAGTTTCTTCATGCTCACTGAATTCAGATGTCCGAGACGCTTGTGCCATAATTTGTAATCATCTGCACTTGAAGCTACACATACTCATTCATCATACACATCCAGTTTATAAAGTTCACCAACATATGATTTAGCCACCGCAATCAACTGACCAGAAGATTGAATTCTCATTTCACAGATTTTATCATCAATACATGTCGTTTGTATGCCTTTTCTGCCAAATTGCTTACAAGGAATCAAATTAAACTGTGTTCAATCAATAAAAGAAATCAATAAAACAATCCCTCTGTATACTTGATATCACGTACTGGTGTCTCGATGATCTCTCCATCCACTCGAAGCAGCATCGTCGTCTCACCAATAGCTGAGATTTTACTTTTCTCACCAAGTGCAGTTACGATTGTTCCACCGTTCTCAATAAATTTTACATTGTACAACCAGTCCTTCCTTCCGGTCAGATGACAAGTGGCCCCAGAATCCACGTATCAATCATCTCGACTCGGAGTCCCAACACCAAGAGCAACAGTTGCTTCCATTTTGACAATCAAACCCTTTTCTTGTTTTTTGAAATTTTCTGATTGTTCTTCGATGATTTCATGTCATCTTTCTGCAACTCTGGACATCTTTGTTTCCAGTGTCCCGGTTTACCGCAATTGAAGCATCCTTTACTGGGTTTCTTTTTGTTTATATCTGGAGTTTTTTTTTAGAGTAAAGCTGACGCCTTTGCTTCATTCTCCAACTTTGAAGCTTCCGTTGACAGACGTTCCTTCACAAGGTCAGTTGTCAAGACAGCTCCATAATTTTCCAAAGCCATGATCAGGGGTTTGTAGTGAGCTGGTAAACTGCAGAAAATCAGTGCGACCAGTACTCCATTTTTTATCTCGTTGTCAATTGCCTTTAATTGCTGAGCTATCCTCACTTTTTTAGTTAGATATTCATCCATATTCTTACAGTCAACATAACGAATTGTCACCAAGTCCTCAATTAATGCTGCCACCCTCGAAAATCCCTTCGGCTCATATACAGCTTTCAATCGATCCCATACTTCTTTCCCAGTTTTCAAAACCCTCACTTCTGTATAAATATGAGACTTGACACCAGAAACGATAGCTCCAAGGGCCCTGCGATCAAGTCGTGCATCTTGTCTGTCTCCCGTCACGAAGTCCCACAAATCACAATTCACCAAATGAATTTCCATACTGTACTTCCAATCAATGTAATTCGATCGCCCTTCAAGCTTCTTGAACGAGGAAGGCACAGACGTATTGCTGACAGCGTGCACGGTCTGAAGAACCCTGACATCTTGATTCCCTTGATTCCCTTCTACTGCGGGATCAACCATCTTTGGTTTTATACACTTTTATCAAATCAATTCTCTTTACTCTGGACCCATAACCCGATAGAATAAGTAATTTATTCAATGGAAGCAATAAAGAGAAAAATCCCAGTGTATTGTATCGAATCAGATAAACGAATGAATGTAGGAGAGAGTGAGAAAATGTAGGTGTTGTTTTTAAGAAAAGTCGAACGTTACTCTTGATAACTACATCTATTCCATTTCGAACAGAATGTGATTATAATCCTCGCCTTCGGCTCGGATTGTAAAGCCACATTCGCCAGATAATACTTTTATCGCCTAATGACATAATATACTATTTGGCTCGTGAGAGGTTTATAGCACGAGCCGAAGGCGAGTGTTATAATCCCACGAGCCAAAAAACACTTTTCCCACGAGTATCGAACGATATTTTTCATCACAATGTGTAGAAAAGGGACGTTTTAGGCACGCGAGGCATGCCTAAAAAGTTACTTTTTCGCACAGCGTGATGAAAATTATTTTGTCATTCGTTTAGTCCGTTACCAGTTGACAGTTGGGTGCAAAACGTGCGTAGGATCAATGCCATTTTCATTGTACCTATTCTTTTAATTGGCAATATTTCAGTGAAATATCCGGATATTACTATAATTTATGTATTTTTATTAAATTTTCAACTATTCAAAACCTTAGCCAAGGGATTTTTAATCCCATTTTACTATTGTAACAGAGAAATCAACGTTTTAAAATTGTGAGTTTCTTAACTTGTGGCTTAAGAATTAACTCTGTCGTAGCACGAGTTGATGTGAATGTCTCTCTTTTATTATTCAATAAATCACTCTGCATTGGTGTCTATAACTTTTCTTATTGACTAAAATAATAACTCCAATCGTACTTCACTCTTAATAGACTCTTGGGACTATCAAAATTATTGAAATGTTATAGCTGGCAGGATCTGAACGAGCGTAGGGACAAAGATGGGCATAGGCACATTCACCTTATTTGTCGGATTATTTTTCCCAATCGGATTTTGGCCAAGCAGAGTGCAGTGGACAACATCAGGAAGTGAATTGGGAAAGATTTGAACAAATTATGTTAATAGAATAACCCGATTTCCATAGACTGTCAAATATAAGATTCTATCTGAAATGAGCCGAAAAAATGAAGAGCTACTGTGAAATATTCAGGTAAAAGAAATGAAGAACTACTGCGAAATATTCAAAAGCTAGGAGGAAATATCCGAAATAAAACTGTCGGGTAGCCTCAAATACTGCACTCTGATTGGTCGAAATCCGATTGGGAAAAATAATCTGTGATAAATCTATTTAAGCGACATTCAGATATAATATCCCCTTCTTTTCGCTCCACTACCAAATAGCAATTATTTAATTGACCTACAATTCCAACCGAGATTTTCTGATTCTTCTATCGCCCCCCCAAGTCACCGCGAAATAATCAGCAAACAACTGGAAGCAAATCATTCAATTCTTTTTTGGTATGTGAAGTGTATCTCCTTTCAAGCTCCATCATTTTTGGTGACCTATCTTAGCTATCACATACATGTATAAAATAGTATATTAAAATAGGTATTATATGCTATATATACATATGGGGTATTCCATGTGAACTCACCCAGGTCAAAACCCTCACCATCGCCAATCATATTGCCGATTTTTCCTGTGGTTGTATATGGAAAAATATGACTTCTCAAATTTTTTCAGATTGTTTAAGGCATCCTGTGGACAGCCATGGTTTTTTGCAAGTTTTATCTTAAAATGCCTGTAACTTCCGTAAAAATCAACCGATTTGAGTTTTTTTTTACAAAATGTGCGTCTTCGAACACACTTTCCATATAAAAATATGCCAATTTTTTTCAATTCGTTCTTCCATCGATTTCCTCAGAAAAACCTCAAAAAACTTCAAAAAACGAGTCGTTTTCAAAGTTGGACCCTTTTTATATTTTTCAAAAAATTTCAGTGAATATATTGGACCAAAACAAAATTTTTCACCAAAGGCCAAAGTGGGCTTCCCATTTCGTGGCCGTCATTTCCAATTTGAATATATGAATCCGGGATGAGAAATTTCAAAAATTTCAAAATTCTTTTCGCATTTGAACGCAGAAGCATTATTTGAATTGACCGCCTGAAGAATTACTGCATTATATTCGAATCAGGAACAATTTGATGATTTTTTGAAAATTCGTTAACAATAAATCTTTCCGAGTGGTGTGTTCTAATAGAGATCCCACTTTGGCCTTTGGTGAAAAATTTTATTTTAGTCCAATATAGTCACTGAAATTTTTTGAAAAATATAAACAGGGTCCAACTTTGAAAACGACTCGTTTTTTGAAGTTTTTTAAGGTTTTTCTGAGGAAATCGATGGAACAATGAATTGAAAAAAATTGGCATATTTTTATATGGAAAGTGTATTCGAAGACGCACATTTTGTAAAAAAAAACTCAAATCGGTTGATTTTTACGGATGTTACAGGCATTTGGAGATAAAACTTGCAAAAAAACATGGCTGCCCACAGGATGCCTCAAAAAATCTGAAAAAATTTGAGAAGTAAAATTTTTTCAGATACAACCACAGGAAAAATCGGCAATATGATTGGCGATGGTGAGGGTTTTGACCTGGCTGAGTGCACATGGAATACCCCATATACAGTATATACATTTTTTTAATATTAAAAAAAAAAATTTCAAAGACCTGATTTTTTTAGAATTGAAAAAATAATCTCACAAAATTTCCTTAAAGTTGTTTTTTTACTAATCAAACACGCAAGAAAAATTTTGACTCACGACGAGAGTGACGAAAGTTGCGAGGAACCTCATGTTGAAATCTTTGAAAACTCTTGTGGAACTGTCGAATTGAACAATCACGTTGCCTCTTATTCACATCAGCCAGGCTTATATACCAATTTTACATCGATAAAAATTTCGGGAAACCAGTGAGTGCACCAGGTAAACTAGTGACGTCACCAAATGTCACAACTAATATTTGCAATTACAAGCGGCGATAAGGAAGCAAACAAGATCATTGAGAGCACTCGTGGATCAATTTGATTAATCCCGACTCAACCACTACATACTATTCCTTATTCCATGCAAATCTTCCAAACTATTAGTTTTATCGAAAAATATTGTAGAACATTTGTTGTAGCTCTTAAAATTTCCCATAAAAATGTGCTTTAACAATTTTGCCCAAAACCATTCATTGTTGAGATAATTCCAATATCACGAAAAAAATATTCAAAGATTCACTTGCACGCAATTTTGCGAATATCTCAAAAGCTATTGACTATGAAGAAAACATCCAAAAAACTTTTTTGTAGAAAATCAAATTTTCTGACATTTTTCCCTAAAACCCTATGTCCTGAAAATATCAATAATTTAAATAATATTCTTAAAATTTTCTATCTGCATTTACAACTGTCGATAACTTATCCCTCCCCAATAAGTTCCCTAGACCCTAATAATATTCCAAGATGTATTCTTTATCCACTGCAGATCCCAAATCTCTCAACCACCTCTCAATACACAGATCCCTTAAATCAATAATAAATTTTTGAAAAATTTTTTTCCTCAATGTTTTCGATAAGTGTTATCAATAAATAATAAAAAATGGTCATATCTCAACAGCTCCACAAAGTCACATTTCCTTCCTCAAAGCATGCTAATGGCATAATAAACAGATAAGATAAACCAGGTGTGCAAAGAAATGACGAAAAATTCATTTACTCGTACGATTTATTAAAGCAATTATCTTAATCCTATTCCAATGTACAGAACTTCCTAAATCAACTGACTAAAATATTCCCCCCACATTCCGATGATAATTAAGCTGTGAATGCTGATGACTGTAGTCGTATCCTTGATCGTAGCCCCACTCAGTACTGCCAACTGGATTCTGTACCCCCTGGGTGCCAATCGTGTGTGCGGGATTGTGATGACTCGGATGAGTTGATGAGTATTCACTGCCTTGAAAATGATTGAAATTACCCCAGCCGAGTTGTGATGCCCTTGTCCAGTCATTATTGCCTGCAATGTCAATGAAATTACGTGAATAAAATGAATGATTTCGTTTCAATCCAATTGATTTATGTTTTTTTGATTTTCTTTAAATTCCATCGGTTTTATCTTGAGGGTTAATGAGTTAATTGTGCTGATAATAAGCCTTTTTAGGTGGAAATGTCAAGAAACATTTCAAACTTCTTCCAAGATCTTCTCATTTTTAATATTTTATTTAATTCATTCATAGTCTGACCACACAATTAATGAAACGGTTTTCCTTCATTAAAACTGAAATTTTTGAGAAAATTCTATCAGTTATTAACAATTATTTTGAATTTTCTCAGAATTTTATATGTTGAGAGAATTCATTTCTGATGTCATTAATTAATTGACGAAGATTTTATATTAGTATACTAATTTTTATAATTTAAAAATTCAATCGGCTTTAACATTGAGGTTTAATTATTAAATGTGGGTGATCATAAACTTTCTTGGTGGAAAACGTCAAGAGACCTTTCTAAATTTTATGATAATCCTCTCATTTTCTGCTTTATTTAATCCAGTCTGATGATTTCAGTCAAAAACTACTCGAACTCGAGATATTCACACAATTAATAAACCGCTTTTCCATCAAAAACATGAATTTTTTAAACAATAAATTATTCTAGTAATTATCGTATCCACGTGAAGAAATTTCAAGAGATATTCATCATTAAATTGCCTTCAGTACTGACTCGGCGATTGGGATTCCCCGAAATTCGTTCATTTAGAAATAAATAACTCACCAACATTGTGCGATAGACTGGTGGGTGCTGACAACCCCGTAGCAGGTTGCAAAGAGCCTGGTTGGCTGATCTGAGGAGTAGAAAGACCACCAAGTGATCCAGGAATGGGAACGGAATTGTGAACTCCACTCATAGTCGTCGTGGTTGTTGGCAACACCTGGCTTACTATGGTAGCTGCCACCTGATGGACAACACTAGCGGGTGAGTGATGAATAGTGCCACCTGAGGCTTGATGGAGACTCGTCGGTACCTGGGGTATGCCACTTGGCACCTGAGGCATCAATTGACTCAGCTCTGCCATTCCGTATTGGCAGGGGGCTTGACTCGATGAAAAATTTTGCATCGAGTGGCCGATACTACCCGTGTGCTTGCGCATTCTTGCACGCCGATTGCTAAACCATACCTGTTGAATCAAAATAAATTAAAATTTTTTAAAATCAGAATAGATCAATCATTTTTTTAAATTTTTTCATATAAATTTTTTCTTCTTTCGTTTCAAACATTTTTTTCTGAAAAAGTATGTAAATGTTTTTTTTTAGTACCTGTATTCTTGCTTCCGTTAATCCTGTTCTTTGAGCTAGCTCCTCCCTTGCATAAACATCAGGATAATGCGCCCTTTGGAAGGAAGCCTCTAACTGTTCTAGTTGAGTTCCGGTAAATGTTGTTCTACTTCTTCGTTGTTTTCGTTTTAATGTTATACTGGGTTCACTCTCGGTGTCAGACTCGTCCATACTCTTCACGATGTGACCTGATCAAGAATAATCAGAAGTGAACGATGAAGATATTAGTTAAGTGTAAGAAAACAAATAACTAAATCTAACCGTAAAACCCCTTTTTACATTTACAAATCTAATAGCGTTATTCTTGCACCGCTTACTGATAAGTCAGTAAGCTCGCCGCATTTCTCTGAAACCAAAAACATTTTTTTAGTGTTTCTCGATTTCTCGTTCAGTTGATAAAACCAGTAACAACGCCATTGTTAGTTGGCACTTGTTTTACCGACTGAACAAAAAATCGAGAAAAATTACAAAAATTTTTTTTGGTTGCTGAGAAACGCGGCGAGCTTACTGACTCAGTAAGTAGTGCAAGAAAAACGCTATAATGAAAATAGAACATTTTCTATAAGGATATTTTTGTAGGGTAAAGCAAGAGTGCCATCTCTTAGAATTTTGAGGATATCATCAAGAAACTGATAGTAGATTTGGGCTAGACGGCATCAGTATACATGAATTAGGGAGTAACAGATGCCAGTGTCCATTTTGAAGATTCCAGTCCCTCAGAAAATTCAAGTAAAATAGAAAGTATTAATGCATTATACTGTTCACAATCTGATTTGATGAATAACAATCAGAATGAAGCAATGAAGATATTGAGAAATACAAATTGTTTATGAGGACCTTTTTGAAGAGAGCATCAAAAGCTACACAAATATTCCCATAGAAATTTCCACAAGATCGCGCCATTATATTAATTACAAAGTAAAAAAGACCACCGTTCATTTCAATGATTCCGATAAAATATTAATCCTTTAATAAATTGATTAATGAATCCCTTAAAGCCCGGAAAATCATCGAATTAACACGCCTGCTGGAGAACAGAAACGCACAAAGGTTAGGCCGTAATTAAGGACGATCGTAAGACTCTAGAATTCTGTCATTAAACTCTGGGAATTAACAGAACAAAAATACATGCTTTTGTGGGGTAATAACCGGGTAAAGTTGATGGCGGTTTTATCGCAGTTTTTAGAACCTCAACGTGTGTTCAAAGAAGTAAGAAAATAGTCGTATGGATTGTCATAAAATTTGCATTAAAATAGTACATAAAACATGGCCCATTTCGTCTTAATCTGCATTTTGCTGTTTCGAGAATTTCAGTTGAGTCAACAATTAGATGTATTCAACAATAATGATTGATAATAATTTTTTAAAAAGATGATCAACAAATCATTCAGTGTTTTATGCTACTTGTCCGTATTTCTCTCATTTTCCTGAGATTTTTACCAAAAAGTAGAAAAAGTAGATATAGATAAACAAATTCTTTTATTTATTTTCTCTAGGAAGACTTCAACTTGAATAAAGATGTATTTATTTTCCGCTGAAAACCGCATACAATATTATTGAAGCCCTGAGCCTCGTGCCATCCCTTAAAACCTCAGGAAACGTAAAAATCGGCACTTCTCCCTGAATAGCGTGATTAAATATTCACACTCGAGTGAATCTCAACGCTCACTCGGTCAATTGACCACATACATCTACATGAATGAAGATGGAGAGCGAGTGACGTTGATCTTGTTATGATGCTCGAGAAGGAAAACACTGGAGTTTCAATCTTCCGGGCCGTCGATTGCACTTTGGATCTCTCTGGGGTTTGAGAAAACACTGTAAATCCGTGCTCAATGTACACAAATAAACATTATAATCTTACTCCATTCAAGAAAGATTGGATTTTTGAGGAAATGAACAGTCATTCATGTTTTCACAGCAGATGTTCTTTATTTCCAATTTTTTTTCTATGCTTGATATAGAATAACAAGGAATTGAGCAACATGAATGGGTCCTTTCAGGAGTCAGGAAATTTTTGGGCCTAAATACTATTTAACAACTAATCTTCGATATTTGAAGAATAGCCTAATTTTCAATGGCAAAAAAAGATTAAAATTGTTTCCTTTGAAAAGCTAGGAAAATATTCGTTTCTAAATTATGCAAAATAGCCTTTCTGACATTCAAAATTCGGTTTTCCGATGTTTTTACCTGTGCCGTCATCTAGTACATCGATCCAGAATACATGCCTTCAATTACAACAACGCGAAATCTACACGAAGAGAATAAAATAGTAAAAATTCCCATGGCCGTATATGGTATAGTATGTATGTACGTATGTGTTCATTTACTTTGCTTAAGTGGTAACGGAACCCGTCGCACGTAGAGGTTAGGGGTCCCCCTTATCGGTATTGCAGGTTTCCGTGCTTTTTTGGATTTTGTACGTGAAAAGTACAAAAGCCCATAAAATATAAATAAATGGATATAAATAAATAATAATGGTATGGAAACATTCTACATTATCTTCTAACTCGTAAAAGTACTTCCCTCTTACAATTGGTGCCCTGTAAAGGACATGTTACCTCCTGGATACCACCCAATCATCATAAACAAGTTTTTACGAAAATTACGCAACAAAAGTACGTTTTTGTACTCAAAATCTCTGTCTTGGACCTCACTCGATCGCTCTCTTCTCATGAAAATAGGCATCGGCTAAGAAAAATCTACAAAAAATCGATTTTTCTACCATGACTTGGCAGATTCCTACAAATAAAATGGCGTCGGCCTTGCCCTGGTCCTTGCCGTTAAATAATTTGCAATTTTTTTTTGCATAAATAAGAAAAGTATGAGAAGAGAGCGATGCGTTCCGCTACTTTCAATACGGGAAAAAAGTTTCATTGATTCTCATTGCATAGAATCCAAGAAAACTTGTTTTTGGTAAACGTCTTTTTGTGGTCGGTTCCGTTACCCCTTAAAGTTACATCCGCATAAAGGCGAGTCGAGTCAACTGCCGAATATACTCTCAACACAAAAGACCACCTCAAAAGACTACCTTTGTGAAAAATAAACATTTCAAATTTCTCTTTATTCATTTTTAATTCGAGTTGAAATATTCTGAGGCTACTTTAATTTTTCTGGAGAATTGATAAATTTGCAGGATTTTTGACGAATTAAACTAGATCTTCAGCATACGCAAAGCATAATATCTCGTTCTGTGGATCAATGGAATTTTTGGCACAGAAGGTTGCGATTGACCGAGTCAAAGGCTGACGAAGTCCACGATTATTTCTTGAGAGGCAATTTTATTATAAAATATATTGAAAAAGAGAAGCCAGTTGTTGGGCAGATTTTAAAAAAACGCATTAGAGATTCCATCAGGGCCTGAAGATTTTCCAATTTTACATTTTCTTAAACTTTCAATCATTTCATCGCGGGTTAGTTCGCAGTCTAGCAGGGGAACATTTTCATGAAAAAACAGTGTTATTACCCACTGGTTTGGGATACATGTTTTTCAAAAAAGTTCTCCACTGCTCTCGGTTGATTAGATTAATTCCTTTTAGTTTTGATTTATATTTGTTTGCCGTGACCCAGGCACGTTTTGGAATCTCTAGCGTTACGTACATCTCTCATGATTTTTTCGAAATAGTCATTTTATTTTTTGTTCAGCAGTTTTTTATAATCATTTTTTGATTCTTTATAAAATCCAATCTCATTCTGTTGTTGAAATTAGGATTTTTTGAATCCGTGAATGATGTTTATCAAAACGTAAATTTACCACAGAGACAAAGGGGGATTAGCTAAAACTTTAATAAATTAGATAAATCTAGAAAATAGTTTCCACATTTTTGAAACTCGGGTTCTTAAGCTTTATCCTTGGTGCGATCATAAAAACTAACGAATTTGGGGATTGTTTTTAAGAGTAAATATTTTCTAAAACTAATGCTGAATTTTTCTCAATTTTAGAAAATTTTCAGATTGAACTAAAAAATTACGACCGAGGAACTCAAAGGCTGTTAGTGCCCCCCCCCCATACATAGGGAGGGGTCCCCAAACAACTTTAAAATTAGATTTATCTTAACCCAATTTTTACGCGTCTCATATTAAATTTTCCTTTTATTCTACCACTCTCTACTATACCGACTCGCAATTTTTACTATGTTTAACAATAAATTTTGAGTGTAGCGAGTATGGCCCTCGATTGCTGAATTTTGCTCAATTTTAGAAAATTTTCAGATTGAACTAAAAAATTGCGACCGAGGAACTCAAAGGCTGTTAGTGTCCCCCCCCCTGCCAATACATAAGGAGGGGTCCCCAAATATCGGGAGTTTCCGATGTAAAGAGGGTAGTTTCATACATGGGGATTTTTTAAGGGATGGCTTAATTAATTAGCTGGAGAGGTTTATACACGGAGAGAATATAAAATTAAAAATTACAATGTGAACATAATAATCGAAGACCATACCGAAACAACTTTAAAATTTGATTTGAATTTTCCTTTTATTCTACCACTCTCTACTATACCGACTCGCAATTTTTACTATGTTTAACAATAAATTTTGAGTGTAGCGAGTATGGCCCTCGATTACTATATTGACATAGTAAAGAATTATTTTATATTTTTTCCGTGTATGGGTAGTTTTATTTATGCGAGGGGGGCTCGTATATGGGGGGTTCATATGTCGGGAGGGGGGATTATATATAAGAGGGGTCTTACACATAGGTAGAGTTTTATATATGGGTGGTCTCATATATGAAGTGAGTTTATATGGGAGAATTTAGATATAAAGGATTTTACATGCGAGAGGAGGTTACATATGGGGGATTTTCTATAGGGAGAGGGTTTTATACATGGGCTGGAGGGTTCATATATGCGTGGGGTGTTTTATACACGGGAGGGGGTTAAATGGGAGGGGGGGGGGTATACACGGTGTGATTTTATACATGGGGCGGGACGTCCGGAGTGGGGAGAGGGGGTCCCATATTTGGGAGGATTTTGAGAAGAGGGGGCGTTGTCAATGGCGAGAAGGTTTTACATTAGGAGTTGGGAGTTGTACTGAATTCTCGATGTACAGCCTGTTCCATCCCGTAGTCGACTTACTTCGTCGGTGAGTTTGTCAAGGATATTTCCGAAACTAAAGGAGATAACGAATTTTTACTGGAAAAGTGGGGGGGGGGGCTTGTGCATTGGGAATTCACAAAAAATTTAGTATTCCTCCTCCCTCTTCCCCCAATTTTTCAGTAAAAATTTTCTATCTCCCTTAGTTTCGGAGATATCCTTGAAAAATTCGCCAACAAACTAAGTAGTCTACAGGGGGGGGGGGGGTTAATTAAATAAATGGTAAATTGGGTAAATGTAAAATACGAAAAAAATCATTGTAATTTAAGGCAACTTTGAGCGTAATTTACGAATACGAAATTTCCATCTCCCCTTCACTTAGACAATTATTTCATTTTACACTAATAAGTCTTTATTGGTTAGAAATTATTCCTTATTTCTTTTTCAGTATGATGTGTTATAAAACATCTTAACATATGACGATCTACCATGTAACGTAGTGAGCTGTACGATGTAATACTGCACTATGCAACATATGTCCATAGGACCTGTTACCATTGGGGATCTTATCCTGCCCCATCTCAGGTAGAAAATGCCAGTGTTGGAAAAACTGCCTGGGCGTCCAAAATTAGTCCGAGGTTCGGTCATCCCTCGGGACCAAGGCTTAAGTCTCGGGGGAGGGGCGGGTAACCGATCCTTGGTTTACAGATCTGGCCCAACTTTGGGGCGAAAATTGGCATGCCGGAGCTCAATAAGCAGGTCCAGAACCAGCAGTGACACGGAGCTTGGTCATTATAAGCTCCCGCCATTGGTGTAATTGTGAGGGTTAAATCGTAAGGGTGAGTAGAATAGAATAGAAGAAGTATTGACTAACTATCAGGAAGAAAAGAAGAATCGTTATCAAAAATGAATTCGTGGGTTCGAGCCCAAGTTAGGGTAATATTTTAAGTTTATAAAATCACATTTTCAGTGATAATTGGGTTGCACCGATAGAAAGGATTAGTTTTTGTTAACAATTGGATTTGGTTGGAGGCTAAGGTCTATTCGGTCTCACCAAATGTTCATTTGTTAATAGTTAACAAATGCATGTTTGAGGAGCCTTGTTTGACTCAACTTTCACCTTCCAAGCGGACCATTCACTAACTATTAACGAATATTTATTTGGTCACATTCAACTCTACCATTCGTCAATAGTTAACGAATCTCGTTTGGAATAAATGGATCATTCTACCGGTGTGGGGTGTGGTAGTTAGGGCACAATTAATGGTAAAAAGAATCAATTAGCTTATTTTTGTTATTATTGATAATTGTCAGTAATACTGTGGCAGTCAGACCCGTGCCAGTCATATGCCGGCATTGAATTGTTTTTTCTTCTTGAACCTGTTGCGAATGCTCAGGAGTAATATTGAATTACCTACGTACGAAAAAACGAATGGGCCGAGCTTGGCCCAAGCCCGGTGGCCGGCCTGCCGAACTTCGGGACCCGTTCCTCAACCGGGACCGCGCCGGACTTGGTTGAAACCTGGAATGATAACATCGGGCCAGGTCTGGGCGCCCATCTCGGCCCAGCGTTGATTGCCAGTCGTTGGCCAGGCTCAATTAAACATTACTTAATTACATGAATATGATAATATGGGTGATTGAAATACAAGTAAT